TCAATACAACTTAACTGTAAAGAATATATTGATATATAACTAGAACTCCAAATGATTAAAAAATAAACTTCATTTGTGGTTAATATTTAGTAGTCCGACATAGACACTCATTAAATTCAATACGGATTATTGTCATATTTTCTAGTTTAACAACGCTAATTCAATCTGATGAACTTAATAAAATAAATATTCAAGCAGGTGCAGGATTATGACTTTAAGATGTGGATATATAGAAAGTAAATCAGAATCTATTAGTGGATCTCTGGGTATTTTATAATAGATCAGGATTTCTGACTTCTCAGTAGTTTAGCATATAATTTATATCTGAACTGGATTTTGGAGTTCAAGTAAAAAAACCGAAAAAAAAACCCCTACAAAGTCAAGAAAGTCTTTCCTCCTTTTACGGTAATAGTTGGGGTCTGAACATTGCATTATTAGTATACTTTGAGATTGCTATGTTTCGTTACTTATTTGGGAGCAAGACCTTCTGAATTTAACTTATTTTCGAGTAGATATGCATATGATCAGGTTTTAGAAAGTCATCTCGGTAAAAATAAAACCTATTTATGGACCACATCTCTGTGCAGTTTCTTTTAAAACAGTTATCAAAATTCTAAAGTTCCTCTTCTAAAAGAGGCTTTTCCAGATTCCTTCAGCTCCCAATCGTCTCAGCAAACAGTGCTAGTAAGAAATTATGAAAATTGCACTGGCGTTAAGTACAAGAAGTACACAAACAATAAGCAGCTTCTTAAATGTCTTTAACATGATAAATTAACTGCAGGTTTTCTCTTGGAAACCAATAACTCATACTTGCAGCGAGTTCCATAAGCACACTGTCCTTTTTGATAGAATTTGCAGATAGTAGATCGTTTGCTTGTAGACAAGTCATGGGAAAACAGACACCTATTTCCTTCACGACATACTCCTTGTATAAAATACCTGCAATAATATACCGTATATGCAAAGTCACATACAGCAACAGATGTCAAATATATAATTCTTCTTTCAGTATTTGTCAAGTCCACGAATAAATCTACCAAGATTTTCTCCAGAAAGTTCAGAAAAGCAGAATGTGGAATATTTGTACATTGAAATACACAAATATCCTAAAATGAGAGATAGGTTCCACACTCATGGCTCAAATAAGGTTACACCGTTTTCTCTAGGAATGTTGTTTTATTGGCACTTTTAAAAGAACTTAAGAAATCTATTTTTAAGATTCTGAATGCATGTAGTTTATATCCTAAAAAGCTTTCCCTGATTATCAATATGGAGAGACTTTGGGACAAATCAGAAGTCCACAGGATTAACGTCCTACTTCCATCCCTGTGTCAAACTTCAATCTCTTATGATATGGAACTAAGAGAACCACCCGAGCTTGACTTGTAGCCATGTTTCTGGGCCAATTGCACAAAGGCCCTGGCCTTAAGACACATTGTCCTTTAGGAATTATTTAGGGAAAATCAGGTTTAGATTTTTTTTAATTTTATTTTTTATTTTATTTTTCACTATACACCATACACCAAAAACTACATAAACATAAATCTTTTCTTCTAACAGAACAGTGCTTTACATTTTAAATATTCTTTACATCTTATTTACATTTTATGTACATCAATAATTATGTCTTTTTTCTTTCTCTGTTCTAGCCAATGATAACATTTATTCCAAATTTCATAAAATGCTGACGTCTCCTTGTCTTTTAATTCTAACGTTAAGTTTGTTCATTTCTGCGCAGTCCAAGATTTTATACACAATCGTATCATTTGTGGGAATATTTTCACTCTTCCAACATTGCGCATATGCTATAGGAGCTGCAGTCAATATGTGTATAATGATGTGTTGGAGTTGTTTTTCCATCTTTACATTTATTATGCCCAAAAGAAAAGGTTTAGATTTTTAAGGGGAAACCAATAACCCTCCCTGTTCTGGAAAAAGCTCCCCTATGTGTAACAGGCATTTTCAAGGACTACAACACACACACAAACACACACACACACACGGGAAATGAAAGAGGGCCACTGGAGGGCCGCGTGAAAAGGTTGGGATGGCGAGTTAGTGGAACAAGGACAGGAAAACCATCGTCTCTCCGGCTTTTCCCTTCCTCTCGCGGCTTAGTCGGCGAAAAGAGCGGGAAAAGAGGCGGGAGGCATCTCGGTCCCGTCCTCCCCCTCCCCCCCCCGCTTCCCCGTGGGCGGAGCGTCTCCAAGCGCCCGTCCGTTTTTCGGGGTGGGGAGGAAGGCAGAGAGCGCTCATCTCAAGCGGTAACCGCTCCCTCTCTCACCTGCAGGTTATGTCCTTCGTGCTGCTCATGTCTCCTCTGGCACCGCTCCTGCTTCGGTGTCTCCTCCCTGCGCGGCTCCTCGCATTTTTGGTTCCGCTGTAGCGCCGGGGAGGGGAGAGGAAGGGAAAGCTGTTTGGGAACCCAACCAAGAGAGCCGGTCCTTTGCTACAGGAACTGGTTTCCGGCCGGAAATTATGAACGAAGCACTCCACCATAGAGCAGGAGAGAGAGGCTTTCCTTCACACCGGAGTGGGTGGGCGGTGTAAGATCTTTTAGCAGGAGGCCCGCTTATGATACATTCAATATTGGAAAGAAATCGACCAGACGGACAAATTATTGGAAAGCTGCGTTGTAATAAAACTGTCAGTCGGGAAAAGGACAGCCGGCCTTCTGGTTTTTTTTGTTTTTTTTTTGCTGCCATAGACTAACGCGGCTCCCCGAGTATACAGTACATTCAAGAGCAGGGCATAGAGATCCGGAAGGCGGGAGAGCGGCCGCCTGGCGGAAGCGAGATTGCCGGACAGAGTGTCCTTCTCCCAGTTTAAAGTTATAGGTTTCGGGACTCGCTACTTCTGGGATATTTGTATAGTACAGGGGTAGGCAACCTCGGCTCTTTTATGACTCATGGACTTCAACTCCCAGAATTCCTGAGTCAGCTATGCTGACTCAGGAATTCTGGGAGTTGAAGTCCATGAGTCATAAAAGAGCCGAGGTTGCCTACCCCTGGTATAGTAGTTCCTTTTGCCTATCTGGCAGGGAATGGGGGGGAAGTGCACAACCAGCAACAAGACAGGACCTGGTTTTTGTTCCAAAGGTGCTTTTTCACGAGGCAACTGGACTTCTTGTTGTTTGAAGACGTTTCGCTTCTCATTCAAGAAACTTCTTCAGCTGAAGAAGCTTCTTGGGTGAAAAGCGAAACGTCTTTTAAAAAAAACAACAAAGTCCAGTTGCCTCCTGAAGAACATCTTTGGGATAACCATGACCTGGATGACTGAGAATCTCCATAGACGTCTGGTTTTTGTTCTCTCATTTTTGAGGCGCAAAAGACATGCAGTCTGCTAGGCCAATATAGATATATTTAGTTGCAATAGAATGTTTAAGTTGCAGCAAAAAATAAATAAATAGATGGTGTAAAACTGGAACATCAACGGATTTATCTTGACATACCTTGAAGGATCGAGCTATATAGATGCATCAGAACTCAACTTATAAAATGCATTTTAAATGAGCAAGTCTATCTTGTATGTGTACACACACAGACACAGAGAAAATATGAATATCCTAAAACTTCAGTCTATGTGGAATAATTCTTGAGAATGATTCTGGCGCTGATATAATAATTACCACATTTTAAATCAGTGTATAGTCCATATAATCCAAACTCTTCATGTTGGATTCTCCTTTTGAAGTTATCTTGTAAAATGTATAGATTAAAAGGCAGAGCATAGAGATCAGGAAAGTGTTACAGCAGTCTCATGATTGTAAAGGTAAGGACAGATGATAGTTTATGTTGCTTTGGAAGATAAGCAGTTAAATGAACCTGATCGTGTAAAGACAGCAACTAGGTATATCAAGCAATAATCGGAAAATCAGCATTTCCAGATTGGATGCCAATATTTTTGATTTTATGTCATTTGTAAGCATTTACAATAAATATATTTGTGTATTATTTTGTGGAGATATTTAACCAATGCAGTATGTAGATAGTAGTTTATTAGTGATGTCATAACTAGAACCAAGGACAGAACTTTTGGGAAATTTTGTGGTATTGGTTCCTTGTACTCTCTGATATCTGGCAGCTTATGAGAAGTACCATATACAGCTGTTTCAGATCTGGAAATCTTAATTTTTATCTGTTCATGTTTATGTTCTTATTGAACAACATTGTGAGTTGTCTGCAATACTTTTTTTTGCATTCATTCATATATCAATAAATCTGTAGTATTCAAATTAATAGAATACTAATAAAAAAAGATAGAGTCCCCTGTCTTTAATAATTGTATGATAAGCCAGCATTAAATTTAGGATGCTGATCTTTTCCTGCCAAGGACAAAACCAATGCTTTTTTTCTTAAAAAAAAAAAAAAAAGGTGCCGGAACTCACACACATCATACAACCCGCCTTGCCTACCCTACAAGGTTCCATCCAAAAAAAGGTGCCGGAACTCCGTTCTGGGCGTTCTATGAGAAAAAAAGCCCTGGACAAAACCAATCTTTCCCAATTTGGTTTCTTCCTGATAATTTGGTACTGCTGTTTCTGGAAAATCTCAGCCAGTGTAGCCAACAAGAATAGTAGGGTTGTACTTAGAAAGTTTCAGTTTATGACCAAATAAACTAGAAAGTTTTACATTTTTGCCTGTGGTACAAAAGTCAGAAGATTTGTATCAAGAGATGGTAGCAAATCTAAATTTGTTTATTCCTCATTTTAATCAAGGAGAGAGATTCACAAAGATGTATCTGCTTACCATTAATTAGCAGGAGTTTATTCTACAGACTAATAACAGACAAATGTGGTGGCTTCTATTTATCAAACTAAGTCAGCACACAAGTACCATATACAATTAATACAAAAAATGAACGCTATCTCTTTAAAAGCATATCCAGGGAAAAGCTGTCCCTCCCATATCTTGTATCTCATTTGCTAATTCAGTCCACAGTAGAGGAAGAATTGGTGCTGGGAGCTGTCATTCTCAACTAATCTCTTCCTTCCTTCAGTGTCCAATTCTACTGACTTCTGTTTATTAAATACAAGTTGGAAAACAGGTTCATTTATCCAAGGAAGGACTAATCATGCAACCGCTGGATTCAGAGAGAGCCTTAATTAAGGTCACCCACTGTGACAAAGACATTTTTGGCTCCTTTGTTCCAGAGAACTGCCCACTATGTGGGCAAAGGCTGATTTACAGAAGTCTGGAAGAAGCACCTGTCAGTATTCCAAGCCCATTTGTTAATGGACACGGAGAAAAATGTTCTTTTTTACTGAAGCCCACTATAGGAACATTTCTAAGGTATGGATTTTCCTTGTTATTCTATGTTTGTAAACAAGGCACATAGAAGCTGCCTTTTATCATTGCTGGAATATAAGGCAAGCACCAATTTAGAAAAGGTGGATTCCTTGTATCTAATTGCTGGAGAGCTTTTTACTCAATTAGAGCTTTTTAGAAGTAATTACTCTTGCTAATAAAATAACATTTCTATCTCTAATTGTATTTGAATGGCATCATATACAGCTTATTTTTTCAAAAATTCTTCTAATAAAAAAAAAATCTCTAATGTCTTTTTCCAAAATGAAACATTAAATGTCTTTTCAGAGATTATGATGGAGATTCTGACCTTCATGTTGGAATAACCAATACCAATGGTAAGAAAAACATATAATTAACTTTCTAATATGAAGTATCCATGCATTTTAAGTATACTGTACAGGACAATTTGTATTTTCTGCAAAGTAGTTTGATTACATGCAGTGCTGACAGCAATATGAAATGGCCTCTATGAAGCAGTGTCACCTAGTGTGGGACCTAGGAAATGTACCTTTGTTGTCATAGCTCCTGCCTCTTGGAGCACCCAGAGATTTGAGGGCCCCAATCCTGCTTACCTTCTGGAAAGTCATAAAGACCTGTGTTCCCCCTCCCCTCAGGCACTGTAACCAGGATGTTCAGTGAAGTTTAGCATATATCTGTGTCTTCTGTAGGTACATATAATAGTTTATGATTGTGTATTGTGGAGAAAATCTAGATTGCTGAGTTGCCACCGACTTCATGATACATAATTATTGTGTTTTACCTCTGTTTGCTGACCAAAATTCCATTGATTAGATGGATGGGCATATACATTTGTTAAATAAATACATGTCCTAGCTACAGCTAGGAAGAGTGTTTTCAGAATTATAACATAGTAAGAGTAAAGCTGTTTCCTCACTAATAAACCATGAACATCTACAGTTTCTACTAACTCTGATATCATTCTATTCTATTCCATTGGAAGCAGCTTTACGACACAAAACTCCTTCCCTTGAGTTCAAACACAACTCAAGTCTCCAAGCAAGTACAGTTTTGCTGGTTTATCCCTCAAACCTTTTCCAATTAGTTTGGCCCATATAGCTGACTGCTTTTGAGCAAGAAATTTAAATAGTAAATTTTTAAAGGCAGTTTGATTCTAGGTTGGGGATACAGGAGGATCTGAACAAACGGAAACACTGGGCGCTATCTAACAAAGTGAAATTCAACACTGAAAAAAGTAAAGTTCTACATTTAGGCAAGAAAAACCAAATGTACAGGTATAGTATAGAGGGTACCTTGCTCAATAGTAGCAACTGTGAGACGGACCTCGGAGTCCTAGTGGACAGTCACTTAGATATGAGCCAGCAGTGTGCTGCAGCTGCCAAAAAAGCCAACACAGTGCTAAGCTGCATTAACAGAGGAATAGAATCAAGATCACATGAAGTATTAATACCACTTTACAATGCCTTGGTAAGGCCACACTTGGAATACTGCATCCAGTTTTGGTCACCACGATGTAAAAAAGATGTTGAGACTCTAGAAAGAGTACAGAGAAGAGCAACAAAGATGATTAGGGGACTGGAGGCATTTTGTATATTCCTTGCCAACGACCTTAACCCAATGTCTAGTTTAATGAAGAGAAGGACGAGGGGGGACATGATAGCAGTGTTCCAATATCTCAGGGGCTGCCACAAAGAAGAGGGAGTCAAGCTATTCTCCAAAGCGCCTGAAGGCAGGACAAGAAGCAACGGATGGAAACTAATCAAGGAGAGAAGCAACCTAGAAGTAAGGAGAAACTTCCTGACAGTTAGAACAATTAACCAGTGGAACAACCTGCCTCCAGAAGCGGTGAATGCTCCAACACTGGAAGTTTTTAAGAAGAGACTGGACAGCCATTTGTCTGAAATGGTGTAGGGTTTCCTGCCTGAGCAGGGGGTTGGACTAGATAACCTCCAAGGTCCCTTCCAACTTTATTATTATTATATGCAAACTGGGTTGCTAGTAGTGATGAGAATCAAAACTGAAGCAGCTACATATGCCCAATCCTCTTTTCAAACTATCTAGTAATCTATCCCACTGACAGAAAAGTGGGGAGGCAACATACCTTGGAGCTGAATTTACTTGATCACCCTTCTGTGCCTTGTGCCTAGTAAATTAATGAGCTTTTGAGAAAGACAAAGGGGGGGGGGCGCTTTTGGAAGCATTGTTTTTAAAATTATTAATTTTAAATGTTTGCTAAATCTCACATTTGTGCAGAAGTTCAGTTCTGAATTGCTTGCAAGGGCTAGGATGCTCTTTGTTCAAGGAAGAGTTGGATGCTTGCACACTTGTATTGACAACATGTGAATTATGATGGTTCTCTGCCCCTCCATTCTTCAGGCCACTACCTTCTTTCTATACATAGGATGCAAAAGCATCTTTAAGAACAGGAGTGTCAAACTGCTGGCCCACGGGCCGGTTGCATCATGCAGAGGCTGCGCCCACCCCAGCTCCAGCAATGCAAAAAAAAAAAGTTGCAACACGTCACGTAACACGGCGAGTTTGACACCCGTGTTTTAGTGTCTTAATTTCTACTCTTTTGCCTTTCTTTATCTCACTATTTATTGCCGGCCTCGGTATCTGTTCTGTAGCAAACATTGCTGGGCTCTTGTGTTTCTCACTTTTTCAAATTATTTTGTTTTCATTATTTTTTTTCTTTACCTCAAATCTAAACAATTTTAATTAAAGGAAGTTTCTCGCTGAACATAGGATTTATATACAAGTAGAGTTAGCCTATTCATTAAAATTTCACCAGTCTTTTTCATTTGCTGATATTTATGTTGAATAATGAGACAATCTTTCAGAACTGTCTTGCATATTGGGCATCAACATGTAGGTTAAGAGTGTATGTTGTGCAGCTTGTAGAATGGCAGGCTTGTAGGACAAGCCTGAAAGATTTAATTATGTCATTCAAAATGGGAAGATGGATAAAAGTTGGAAAAATCTGAAAGGTTATTTCATGTTTACAAAGTAAATTTAGCAGTCAAATATTCTATTTCTGTTAGAATAATCCTATTGTTCAAAATGATATATTTTAATGTTTTTGACACACCAAAAGCTTAGACAATTGGATGGTCAGAAAGGCACCATTTGGTAAATATTCTTATAACCAGGATTTTCAGATAACTTCTGTACATGTCTGTAAAGGAAATGAAAATATTACAGGAGATAGTCACTAAGTTACCATTGTATATACAGCAATTTTGCCCTTCTGATCACATCTGTTGTTTTTATTTGTAGGTTTGGTTTATAATTACAATGAAACTGGTATTACCATTGCTGAATATGGATGGGAACAATGTGTAAGCATTCCACTTGTGCAGCCTGATATGTATGCCCTCCTTAATCAATGGGATACTTATCTAGAACAATTTTCAACAACAGATATTTGGCTTCCACACAGGTATGGCATTCAAAATGGTATTTGTGACTCCATCTAATAAGTTAAGTTTTGGGACTTTGCTTAGGCTGTGAGTTACAGACGAGTCTCATGCAATCATTTGGAGAGAATAAACCCCTTCAGAACCGTTGCCTTCATTAACCTGTTTCAAGAAATAGAGGTAGTCCTGGGTTAATGACTGCATTGTTTACCAACTGTTTGAACTTACGATGGAACTGAAAAAGGTGCTTATCCCATGGTCACAGGATTGCCATTTGCAATCTTCTCAGCTGACTTCTGAGAAGCAAAGTCAGAGGGGAAGCCAGCAGTAAATTTTAAGTTGCAACTTACGTTAACATTGTGGCAGCTGGCATGTATTGTTGATGGCTGCAGTGTCCCGGGGTCATGTGATCACTTTTTGTGACCTTCTGACAAGCAAAGTCGAGGAAGCCAGATTCAACCACATTACTAATTTAACAACTGCAGTGATTCGCTTAACAAATGTGGCAAGAAAGGTCATAAAATGGGAGAAAACTCATTTAACAATTGTCTCGCTTAGCTGTAGTAATTGTGGGCTCAGTTCTGGCCTTCTTAAGTCGAGGACTACCTGCATTTAATTTATTGGAATCTGAATAGTTTTGAGCTCTTTGTCAATTGCAGAATTTTGTATGAAAGTTTCATTCCATAAAAGTAGCCTGTGTGGAAAAATAAATTGAATATATTGCTATCCTTAAAGGAGAGGAATTACATGACCTCCTAATGAGAATAACCTTGGTGGCTAGCATGTGTATTGAAAAATATTTTTCGTTCTGCAGAAAATTATGAGCAGATTTGCTTTTTTGTCACAATATGGGCATTGAGTTTTCATCGTTAAGTGCAGCACCTTCCTACGATCAGCTAAGCAATCTAAATTTTTTCAGCCTTCCATGCAAGAAGCTACTAAACTCACATTTTTCAATAATGCTGCTCAGAGGATGTACCGGACTAGTAAATAATTTACTGCAATAGTCTTGTATGGCAATATTTTTTGCCACACTTTTTCTTATTTGTAAACCTATTCTATTTATAAGGCTGCCACTATTTATTTCTATTGTAGCTGAGCACGATACAAATCTGCAACTAAAATCCAGTGCCTGGCTTTCTTTTTTCTTCTCCCTTATTTAGACTGAATAACAAGGATCTTTGGATGTCTGTTTGGGTTAAAGAGCAGGATAAGTTATGTTAAATAAGTTAAGAGTTGTTTAGAATTCTATTCCCATTGAGACAGTGTGTTATAAATATACCAGAAGTTAATAAAATATATAGTAGTTATGCAGGAGCTTTGTTACTTGGAGACTCATTTCTCTTTATTTAACAGGTATGAAGAATGTTTCCATAATTGTTATACTTATGCACTAACATTTATTAACTGTGTGCTGAGTGCCCAAAAGCAACAACAAATGAATAAAAATGAATTTACAGAGAAATTTGTAATTCCGCGAACAAGAAAAGCTTCCAAATATATCACTATCTACAAAGAAATATGCAAGAATGGCTTTTACGTTGTTGATCATCCTGCTCAAAAAGGCAGTACTTCTGCCAATGCCATTTGACTTTAGGCCGAAGCACTTACTGACAGGAAATAAAATTAAAATATTCAAGTTAAGACACATAAGCGTTATTCCTATCTTGTTGTAAGGAAAGTGGGAAACATTACCATCATACTTAATTGGACAGAAATCCAAGAGAAATCAGAACTATTTCCTATTATCCATAAAACTGCAGAAACTGAATCACAATGTAATCTTTCTAATAAACGTCTTTTCTGTCTGAATAATTATATTTAGTATTATTTTCATTTAAAGACACTGATATGAAGTCTAAGAATCTACGAATAGAAAAAAAAATCCATTCATTGGGATCAAGAAGCCCTTTTTGTTGGAAGTGGAAGACAATTTTTAATAATTCTTTCTCTACTCCAGATGGCACTACACAGCAAAGACAATGACATTTTTCTTTCTCTGGGTGTATTCATGAATAGAAGTTAAGGAAACTCCTACCAACCAAGAAAATAAAATTCAGCATTCATAGAATCATAGGATTGGAAGGGACCTATCAATCACATCAATAAGATGTACTTTTATTTGACAGAATGTAGCAAAAACATTTGATTGACAAAAGTAAAAAAAAAAATCTATTTTTTGGTTTAATTTTAATTGATTTAAGCTATCTCTAATACACATGGCATAACTAGAACAACATTTTGAGCTAAGGTTATAGCAGAGATTTATTAACTCTAGAAGTATTAAGCTAATAGTCATAAAACATGCTCATGTTAATTGTCACTATCCATTTGAGCTTTCATAAAAAAATCAAATTTGTAGCGCTCTATATTAAATACATTTAATATACACATGCTAAAAGGAGGAATACTTAAAATTTATTTAGTTTGCTGCAATTCTATTAATATTGCTCAACTTTCTGATTCCAATTTTCACAGCTCTTCTTGTTCACTACGTTCACAGGATGAAACCCAGCGATTTAGGATCAATTCCTTTAAAAAGACAGACATGGGTTATAAAATATGTAAAATATGTAAATGTGGTTGCTGAATAATACTGTTAGCTAATGTATATTTTCCTATTGAAGAGATAGCATTTGGGTTGCTTCTACCTTTTGTAAGTATTTGATTCATAAATACAAAATACAAACCGGAGACATGATCATTGGCACAATTATGAAAACTACTGAGACTATTAGTGGAAATGGAAGAATGATTCTTTCCTAAATATTGCTTCCCTGTGGCCCACATATAATGGTTGCTTCATCTCTAAAGAAGGTTATAGTTGATCAATGAAAATACAGACAATCCTCATTATTTTGGAAGGCCATATCTGTGAATTTGATTATTTGTGAAAATATTTTTGTCATCCCGAAATCAGTACCTGCACTACTATCACACTTATTAGCAGACAAGCAGAATGTAAAATCACTAGAATTCCCCAATGTGCACATTCCCAATTGAGATTTCGGCATTCGGTAATTTGGTATTTATGGCATTTTTACAGAAAGTAACTACCACTAGTAATTGCTTGTACTAGTTGCAATAGCACTTCCAATGGTCATTTGGTTGACCTTCAGATTTTTTTAAAGATCAACCTACTATTTGATGAATGTTTTACATAGCTGAGATCTAAGGTGTTATTTTTAGAATTGTGCATATGAGTTTTTTTTTAAAAAAGCCTTTTCTCTTTGAACATATTATTCCAGGATTGGGAATGCTTCATAGACTTCTTGTGATTTGATAGGGCTGTTTCATTTCAAGATAAGCTCAAATTCCTTTAAGATTAAAGAACAGAATATTTTTCATTCAAACCATTATTTTCCATTGTTTATTTTACTATATCAAAACGTATTTTTGGCACTGCTCTTTCAAACGCAATTACAGGCAGTCCTCATTAGTGTTAACAATTGAGATTGGCAACTTGACTGTTAAGCGGTCGCTAAGGGAAACTGTGGGCTTATGATCTTATTTAAGCTTTCCTTTGTTTTACAGACCTGAGAAGGTTGTAAATCTAAAGTTGCAAAATTACTTTTTCATCACTGTCATAACTGCAAATGGTTGCTAAACAAAGCGGTCGCTAAATGAGGTCTACCTGTAACTTATTATTGGACAAATTTTAGTTTAATGTATCCGGATCATGCATCATTCCTATTTCTTCGGGAGAAATGATGTATTTTAATCTGTTCTAATATATATATGTTGATTTTAGAGAGCTGATAGTGAATAAATGATACAGTATGTTTACTATAGCAGTAAACAAACAAACAAACAAACAGTTCCATTTTTATTTCTGACAAAACATTAAATTGGGAGGAAACATACATACCTGGACTTTCATTCTTTTGAGACATTCAGGTGAAAGCATTTCTTTTTCATTCATATCAGATGGCTTAATCAAATAGCAGAACATGAGTTCCTGGTGACAAATGTTATCAAAATGTCAAGTAAATGTAAATATAATAGATGTTTCTCCTGAAAACTTCAAATTAAGGTTCATTCACTCTTTATAGCAGTAATGGGACAGACAGCATCTATTATTATAATTAAAACAAGGGTAAAATAGTCCTTTTGTAAGAGGGTGTTTTAATCAAAGTCTTCTAGTTTTCAAAAGAGCACTGGAAGCTCTTGATCATTTTACTGCACCCGGGGAAGCTCCAAACCATTAGGTGATTTTCTAGAGCTAATTTTCAGTGGAACCCCAGGTGAGAAAAATGCTTATGTAAAATCAGGGAACCTAGAAGGATGTGTAGCACTTTGTATTCAAAGCCAAAATGTACTTTGGAGAGTGCAGGGATGGAAATATTAGACCTACCTGGAACTCCTGAAAGCAGCTCTGCCTTTTCCTAGGATTATGTGGCTGCCTATTGCAGCCCAGTCCTGTTTGGTGTAAGGAGTTTAGGGCATATATTGTATTTGTGCCCCTGGGTCTCCGAAAGCATCATTTGGCTTTAAATCTGAAGTGGTGCAAAGTCCTCAAAATTGTGTTTCTTGGCCTTCAGAGATAACCTTCATCTATAGTTACTATAATTCAGTTGCTTCCTTCCAGCCATTTACTCTTTCTAAAATGTACAGTGGGGATTATCAACTTTTATCCTAAATAGTATATTGGGACAAACTAAACGAAACTATATTAAACTAAATGAAATTATACTTGAAAAGTGAGCTGAAAAAGCACTGGGTAGAGATAAGTATTCAAGGAAACCTCAATTATTAGAGAAATACAATCTGAACCACTCGAGTTCCCTAAAAACTAGAAAGCTGAAATTCAGTATAGCAGCAGGCCACCACTATGAAAGTTTAGTCTTTTTTTCGCTCTTTTCTGGGAAAATGGAATCTAAAATCTGCTTTGTGTCAGTGATGAAATATTAAAGATGGAAAAGAAGAGAAAATCCATCACAGCAGCCTCAGTCAACCAGACCACATTTGTGATTGCTTTACAATTCACACACTGCAACATTTATATGAAAGATGATTTTCCACTGTTAACCAGAAACATACACATATACACATACTCTCATTTATTGCAAAAGTACTGCAAAATTATTTTACTACACGCTTTATATAACTTCTCCTACTGTACTTAAAGTTATACATCCATTTTCCTCCATAGCATTTTTGGTGTATTTTAAAATAATTCTTCTTATTGGCTACCTTGGAAACATTTGCTGTAGTTCTGTTCAATCCAGACAAAGTTTTCCAACTGAATGGTCTGTGCAACGATCCATCAAAATCATCATTAATTAATTCAGCAATCACAGAATAGCTGGAAAATAACCCCCAATATCTTTTTTTTAGAATGAAAAAAACATGTATTCAAAAATCACAATCAAAATAGCTTAAATATTGATGGCTCCTTCAGCATAATGAAAGAATCAATTCAGCAAACAACAGTATATTAGATTTCTTTTCATATTCTTTTAAGCCTCTTTTCTGAGATTAGTAAATTAGGGATAGTTTCCCACAGTATACATTCAAATAGACAAGTAGACTATGTAGATTAAAGCTAAGGTAAAATCCAATGTAATATTACGATGAGGGCATTTATACCCTCCCGTGCCACCAAAGCCATTTTCCCCCTTTCCAAATCACTTCTGGACAACAGCGAGGGTCCCACAGAACAAATATTTGTGAGGAGAGGTACTCATCACCACTCACTTCCGTGTTTTAATTACTTTAATTAGTAGAAGGAGCAACACTGGTTTGCCTTCATCAAAGCAGCATTTGAAGACTACAAGGGCAGCTTTTAATAAAATGCATACTGACAATACACTATAAGTATGCCAAAATCAACATAAGTTTTCTTTGTTTGAAATTCCTATTATTGAAGTGTTTGAGACCCTTATTTGAATCTCAGGGCATCTTCAGGGCTATTCTGTGGATAACAGAACACTCCAGTGTAGGATTGGTTATCTGAATGTTCTTACTGAAGATGGCTACCCATGGGGTGCCCTAATTTGAGATTATTCTTAGCTTCAGCTTTGGAAAAACAATATTCTGAATTATGTTAAAGCAAATTAGAAACAAACATATAATATTTTCAAATAGTATCAAAATTAAACATAGTACATAGTAAAAATGAAAACTATATCCAAACTTTAATGCTATACCTGGCATGGTAAAAAGGAAGGCCTTTTCGATATAGCACTACAACAAGAATAAAATGAACATTCATTTATTACAAAAGTCATGTTTTTTGTTCTCAGTTATAACAAGATAAGATTGTGGTAACCCATTATAAAACTTTGAGAATCTAAACCACTTTATAGTAAGATGAGCTTGTATTCTAACCAGTTATAACATGAATGTACTCAAAATAAGTGGAACTGATACCACATTCTTATTGAAAGTAAATTGATTTTTTACTTCTACCTACTAAAATTTTCACATCAGTAACCCTTAACTGGGCAAAATGGTGCATCATAGGGCAAAAACTTTTGAGCCAAGATACCTCAGTGGGCTAACTTACAGTATGCATCTAAAAACTGGGTGCCATGATTCCCATGGAACTGAAATTTGACAAATTTTATAAAACAAATATGACAATTTTCATAAAGTATTTTATGACATAATTTATTTATTTATTTATTTATTAAATTTATATACCGCCCTATCTCCCTTACGGGACTCAGGGCGGTGAACAGGCGATACTAAAAACCACAATAATAAATAAATAATTTCTGTGCTAAAATCAAATTAAATGACAGGCCTGTTCTAAAAACACCCCATACAAAACCCCCACTAAAACATAATCAAACTTAATCAAACTACGC